ATAAAACAAAATCGATTATCTTTGCCACACTGATTGCGGAATTTCGTCGATTTGCCATTAAAACAGCGAATGTATAATTTTGATGTATTTTATGTGTAATTTTTAGAGGAATTTTAATTTTTAATTTATTTGTAATTTTTTAAGTTTTAACTTAACTTTTATTTAATTTCAATTTATATGTTATAATTAATATGTTTATGTATATTATTATGTATATTTATATGTTATAATATTTATATGTTATAATTTTTTATTTTTTGGAGAATTTTTAATTTTTCGACAAGTTTTGTTATTAAAAATATTTTTGCAGAAACTTTGTAACAGTGGGGAAATAATTCAGTTATTTAGTTTATAATGCAGCTTTTTATATAATTAAATATTTTGCGCGGTGTGACAAAAATAATATTTTCAAATTAATTTATAAAATATGTTATGCCAAATTATAAATAGAACATTATTATGTAATGAATGTGTCGAGAGTGTAAAACTTTTGTTGTACGATTTCTTAATTCGTTCAATCGGTCAATATCCGATTTCATGAGGTATGCACCACTACATCGGATATTTATTCTCATATGGACGTAAAATTCCGGTTATATCTTTGCGTCAAAGATATTTCGAGCAGATTTAACTCTCTCAACTCATTATAAGTATCGTAAGTTAGTGCGCTTTCATCATAATCAATTTCTCTCAAATTCTTCCCAACTCTCCAACTGTTTTTCGTTCACAAGGAAAATCAACATGGCCGACAATATCGCCCTTCATCTTTTCATTTTTCTCTCCGCGAAAAAATCTTGTTTGACGTATGTGTGTATGTATGTATGTGTAAAACAAGCGTTTCGAGTTTCTAACAACACATACGAGAATATCGGTATGTTGAGGCGAGAGCGACATGATTTCGACAGGCAGCAAATGACTGATCTCCGTTCCGTCGGACAGTACGAAATGCTCAAATAAAGTAGATGGGAGTGGGAGATGATGATTGACATCTATTAGCACACCAACTCGATAGAACAAACCTAACCAAAGCTTATACCTCTCGGCGGCAACGCTCTCCATTGTTCTGCGCATTAGGGGATACTGGTCCAGTACGGCGTTGAAATGATCCACCGAGAGGCTGAAGAGATTGCAGTAGGTCTCCGCTCGGACTGACGCCACCCTCCTCGCGTTCGTCAGCAGACAGATTTCGCCGAAGTAAGACCCGTCCGACAACGAGGTCGCGACCTCGCCGTTCGCCATCACGATGTCGACTATGCCTTCTTGTATGAAGTACATTTTCGAGCCGATTGTACCCTCCTTAATGATGATATCACCTGCGAGAAACACACACACACACACACACACACACACACACACGCTCCTGTATACAATATGCAACTCTCGAGAAAACGTTAGACGGGCAAGACATTTTATCTACGCGAAAAGAAGGCATGTTTATCGTAATCAATCGATACCTGGCTGGAAGACTTCGTATCTGAGTTTCGTCACGACATCCGAGACGAAATTCGAATCGGCGTTGGCGAAGAAGGGCACGGACGCCACCAGCGACCTGCAGTTGTAGTTTATCACATCCTGAAATAAGACGCGATCTTTGTAGACTTTGCAATTTTTATTGCAATTTTACCTTCTTTAATCTAAATTTCGCAAAATTTTCCCGATGATTTCTAAAAATCACAACTATATCTCGAATATTATCGATTAGAGAGACATTTGGGTTGGATTTTCAATTCTGCGCAATTATTCAGAAATATATTATCCTTAATCTTATTTAGTTTCGATGGAAATATTTTACGATTGACTCTCATCGTACTTCTCTTAGTTTTTCCGAGAGCTCTCCAAGGATCAGTTCCTCGTCGAAGAACTTTCCTTGATACCGGTGTTCGAAGTACTCCGTGATCCTCTGTCTCATTTCTCTTGGTAGTTTTCGATAGGCCATGTATTCCTCTACTTGTTTCACCTACGAGCAAGCCGAACGAGAGTTAAATTCCGATGAATTTCGGGCGAGTACAACGCGCGTTGTATATTGTTATACGACATATTGTCTATACCTTCTCGCGGTATTGTCTTCTCGAGGAATCGAGAGATTGAATGAGGTTCGTCGCGTGTCCGAGGAAAAGAGCGTAGCACGTCGCACCGCTGATCATGCTGAGCATGGTGAGCCACATGTCGGTCAAGGACTGTGGTGGAAACCTACCGTACCCGATACACAGCATGTGCGACATGGCTTTAAAGAGGGCCCACGAGTATTGTTCCAGCCAAAACGAGTCCTGCAAGTAGGCGGCGGGTCGTAACACGGAAATGCATTTTGCAAATCGATGGCCAATTTCGGCACAAAGCGCGGAACGTTCTCATGGAGCTTCTCTCGATCTTTGCTCCTTGAAAATTTACGATTGTCAAGTCGCCAAATAATTTTTTCGTGCCAATTTTTTTCGCGTCAAGTTTATGGCTCATTTACACATATGCAGAGTGTTTCAAAAGTGGAGGTCAGTCGCGCGAGAGGTGATTGAGGAAATCCAAAAATAAGAAAGAAAATTATAATAAGAAAGTTAAATAAGAACGTAAATCCGAAAATGACGTTGTTTTTCGAGTTTATTTGCCTATTTTTTTTTACGTTTGAAATTTTGAAATTTGCTTTCTTTTTTTCGAATTTTTTTGTCATTGTTTTTGTTATTAAAAATTGAAAAAAAAAGATGATCTTTATGAGTTTTATAACATAATTAAAATCAAATAAAAGTTGTGAGCTGTTTTAGCATTACTCAGGATTTGTCTCACAACTTTTGTCTCAACAGTTCTGATCTCTGTCCAGAGATGCTAAGCGGGCTGTATCTCCAAGTGGTGCATCCTGTGTAATATTAAAACAGCCCATAATTTTTATTTAACTTTAGTTATGTTATAAAACTCAAAGATCATCTCTTTTTTCAATTTTGACAAAGAATGTGAAAACAAAGCGATTTTAACATAAAAAATGGCGATAATTTGAAAACAACGCACTTTCCAGATCTATGTTTATACCAACTTTTTTTCTTGTTTTTGGATCCTCAATCACCTTTTGAGCGATTGACTTTTGAAACATTTTGTATTAAAAAAAAAATATTCAAATTTAAAAAAAGTTTAGAAAAACGGGATACCAAACGGGTACCAAACGGGATACCAAAATTTTTGAAAGAACTGAAGGAATTAATCATACGCGTAAGAAAGTAATGAAGATGAAAGCAAATTGAATGAGAGGTAGCTTTAAAAAAAACATGTAACACAGATTGCCTTTCATTATGCCTGCGATTATATGTTAATTCAATATTCAAATTATAATGTATTCGAATGAGATACTGTTACAATACTTACTTGTAACTCATTAATGGCCACCCATGAATTACTGGGAAATCCTTGAAGCATGGGGACCAGGAATTGCAGGCAGCCACTCCAATGGCCGATTAAAAGCATCATACAGATCAGGTTAAAAATCCGCATGAACACCGACGCCATATTCAGGAACTGCCAACAACAACGTTAGAGCTTTACTCTCGCGCCGGATTTAGGCGTGTCGGAATGTTTCCTCACATGTTTTGATTAAAAACTTCTCTGGCTTATCCAAAGCTCCGATTGCGTAGTGTACAGCAAGTAAGCGAGTGTTGCACAAAAACGCGATAGATATTTAATTCGTCGAGTACACTGTTCTATTACTGTTTCTGTTGCTCAGGTTTAGGAATACTGAGTAAACTACGTGACGGGATCCGACACTAAGATCCGATCGACAGTCCATCGACAGTTGTTCAACGAACATTTTTGAAATTTTACGGAGAAGCTGTTTAATCCTTTTAACCAGTCATTTATAAATTTTAATAAAAATAGGCGATTTTTTTTTTTTTTCTAAGAAAACTCTGAATCGAGATAAATTTTTGCGACAAGTTTTAACGGTCAGTTGAAGTTTTTGCTGCTTAACAGGATAACTGATTAAACGATCTAGACTTTTATTATTGACAAATATATATTAAGCAAGAATCAATGCTCGTATTCAGATCTTAGCGCGGATATACATAGTTCAAGTGAGAGAGTGTCACACTTTTCCTAAGTTGTCATCGCCGTTCTCGTACTCTCGAGATTTCTTTTTTTTTTTTTTTTCGTCTGTTAAGAAAAGCATGCTACATTAGAAAATACGCATCACGTGGCACACAAAAGAACAATTCAATGTAATCTAAAACGTTGATAAATAACTGATTACTCTACGAATGCTACTAACAAAAAAATATACAATCATTTGCAACTTGGATGGGCCAAGATTCTCAAACCGCTTATGCGCCAAATGTTCATGACATGACGACGATAACAAAAGGAAAAAAAAAGGGACAAGTAAACAATCGACGCTCATCCAATGAGCGTCGATACAGTCCGTTTGGTTCTAAACGTGAATTGCAAATTGTTCGGTTCCATCGTGCGCAATAAGTACGATATGGGAATCCGTCCGTACTAAAATAAAAAGCTGGAGAACACGCGGAGAACGTACCGACGTGGTTAATTTGTCGAGTTAACCCTTCGAGATTCCGATCTCTATCTCATTTCGATGGTTATCTTTCACGCGGAAAACTACATTGATTTTTTTCTCAATGATTAATACGCACGATTAGGTAATTTCGTTTTCCTGGTAATATTGCGCGTTCAAGTGGAATATTTAACAAACATGCAATCTCAACAGGCGACTCGGCTGTTTTTTTTTTAATAAAGAGAGTCATTCATGTAATTCACAGGATCACTTCAGGAAGCGAGATTGTCAAAAAATCTGTAAATTCAGATATATTTATAATTTATTTTTATATACGTACGAAGTGATGAAATTTTTGGGGAAAACTTTTTCTACGTGCAATTAAAATTTTATGAGACAGATTAATTTGAGAGATTTTATTTATTTAAAGATCGGAAGGTAACGATTGATTGAAATTTCTCGAAGGGTCGGAGTCGGAGCTAGTCTCGGCGTTCTCCTGTTAGTCAAGAGATAAGGATAGAGATTATCTAAGGATCGTTGAAGGTATCATGAAGTGCGACTCATGTTCATGGATATGTACGTAACGTATGTACATATATGTGACAATGACATATATATATATCTGCTTCCGCACTCGTACTGCGTGCGGCAACTCGCAACTCGAAACGCGACGCGAAACGTGACGCGCGCGCGTCGCAATAAATGAGAGTGTCATGCACCGGTATTCGGTCATCGTTTTCAAGAGATTCCATTCGGATGCTCCCGCCGACGGCGCAAATGAATTTCCAATACGGGACGCCGTCGCCGGGGCACGTTGCGAAGAAAATTCTCTCGAATCCGGCACCGTTATATGCGGCGACGAACCGAAGTTTTCCGACGAACTTAAATGCGCTTGCCCAAACACCCACAAGTACCTACTTCGAGCCTTCTCTTTTTATCGCCCCACCGTATCTATCATACTTGATACACTTTCCGTGCTCTTTATAAGTTATGGAAGTTCGATATTCCCGAGAGAGAGAGAGAGAGAGAGAGAGAGGAGGAGTA